TTTTAAAAATGTCTTAATTTACAGATTTTTAAACAAATATTTTGATATAAATCTAGAATTCAGCAGATAAAAAGGCCACAAGTATAAAACTGTTCCTGGTTAAAAAAAAAAAAGCTTCAGTTGTAAAAAGAGGTTTTTTAAAAAAACAAGTTTAAGTTGTAAAAGGTGTAAAAAGGTCACAAAAGGTAATGAAAAATTTTCTGGATACAAAAGCTATTAATTAAAATATGATCCTCTTTTAAACCAATAAAGTTTTTGTAATACATATACTGTTAGTATTTTTAAATAGTCTTTAAAATTTGTTAAACTACAACATATTCTTTTAATCATTTTTATTTAATTGGTGACTCTGCCGTTTTCTAGCCGGATCCAGTAAGCTCTCTTCTCTTTCCTGGTTCTGACTCTGTTACAATTGTTCCAAGTTGTGGGAGGATTCCATGGGCTAACTTGTATTTAAGGATTTTATTTCCCATTTTATTGACAAAGAAACATCAATTTTGTATCCTATTGGTATTCTCTGTCTCTCTTTTAATTCTGATAGTTTAAAAACAGCTGTGTTTTTATTAAAAGAATTATTGTTTGGTCAAATATATACTCATTCTAAAACATTTAAATGTTCACTTTGTATCAATAAAATCTGGTCTACTCATACAAATGTGCAAAAGTTACAAAAGTCTAATAATTTTACTGTGTTATCAGTCACGATGGCTATTGTAATAAAAGGAGGCCCAGAGGACTAAAAAGGGATAAATGGTTAATAAAATCTTACAGGTACTTGTTAAAATAGAGTGTGGAGTAAACAAGTGCCTCTTCTTGTTGTCTAATAAGTTTTTTTAAATTTTTTTTTTTTGACAGGCAGAGTGGACAGTGAGAGAGAGAGAGAGACGGGTCTTCCTTTGCTGTTGGTTCACCCTCCAATGGCCGCTGTGGCTGGCGCGTTGTGGCCGGCGCACTGCGCTGATCCGATGGCAGGAGCCAGGTACTTCTCCTGGTCTCCCATGGGGTGCAGAGCCCAAGCACTTGGGCCATCCTCCACTGCACTCCCTGGGCACAGCAGAGAGCTGGCCTGGAAGAGGGGCAACCGGGACAGAATCTGGCGCCCCGACCGGAACTAGAACCTGGTGTGCCGGCGCCGCAAGGCAGAGGATTAGCCTATTGAGCCGCGGTGCCGGCCCTAATAAGTTTTATAATTTTAACCATGACCACTTAAAGCCTTTTGTCATTCACAGTTACTGCTCATGAAAATTAAAACATTGTTGGTTGTGTGTTTAAATGTGTCCTCTTTTAGGTTTCAAAGGACTTCTTTTTCCTACCTTTATTATATTCAGTACTTTAGTATGGCTCTACAAATAGATAAAGCCAAAGTTTAACAGGTTCCAATTAAAAACCTATGGTTAACTCAGGTTACTAAGAACAAAAAGCAATTCTAATTAATTGGTAATAAAAAAACAGTTAAAGATCTTAAAAGGCTGTTACTAAGACTGCTTTATTGGTCTATCCTGTAATGTATGCTACATGTTATATGTGTGTACATATTATGTCTACATAAACAATTTATTAATAGCTCTCTTTTAATTGACTTATAAATATAAGATTGCTCATAAATTTAAACTACTAGGTTAACCCAAAATACATTTTTAGTTCACATTACCTAAATAAATCTCTGTCTCAGGTGTTTTAAACTTGGTGTTTAAGAGAAACAAAAAAATTTTAAAGTCATTGACATGTCTATGCTTGGGTTGGCTTGTCAAATAAGTTACACTTGTGTTAGATATTCAAAAAATATTTTCAACTACAGGTACTCTTTTTTTTTCTTTTTCTTTTTTTACAGGCAGAGTGGACAGTGAGAGAGAGAGAGAACGGTCTTCCTTTGCCATTGGTTCACCCTCCAATGGCCACCATGGCCGGCATGCTGTAGCTGGTACATCGAGCTGATCTGAAGGCAGGAGCCAGGTGCTTCTCCTGGTCTCCCATGGGGTGCAGGGCCCAAGCACCTGGGCCATCCTCCACTGCACTCCCGGGCCACAGCAGAGAGCTGGCCTGGAAGAGGGGCAGTTGGGACAGAATCCAGCGCCCCGACAGGGACTAGAACCCGGTGTGCCAGCGCCGCAAGGCGGAGGATTAGCTTATTGAGCCGCAGCGCCGGCCAACAGGTACTCTTATAATTTAAAAAAGACTTTAGACTTTTTGGTAAATACTTTCATAAGTTGTTATTTAACAATTAAAGTTACTTACTAATATTAAATTATTAACAGTAAGTAATCTAAAAAGCCTGTATTCTCTTAAAGATGAGTAACTGATTCTATTCTAAATTCTCCATCAGGACATACAGTTTGATCTTCAAAACTTATAAAAATAATGGCTAACATTTTTCTGTCATCGTGCCTGGCCACATATAACAGCTAGATTTATTTTGCCATGGATATAGTAAACAGGCAAAACCCCCCTTTTCAAACCAAACTAATGGAGAAATACTAATTGGTTAAAAATGGTTTGGATAAAGTGGTCTTCATGTTTGATCTTATACATGCCTGTGACAATACCTTTCTAGCTCAGGCCACCAAAGATTAGTGATGGGATTGAGCACCCCCTTGGCTAACATCCTAAAGGCCTCTATGGTCTACTTTAACAAGAATGGGAAAAAAGAGGAGTGAGCTGGACAACAGGAGCAATGTAAGAATAGGCCAATTAGTAATAGCTGTACACAGCGATCTGCCATCAAGGAGACCCAACAGGCCAGTCCACCCTAAATGGCATTGGTTTTTGATGTGGAAAGCCGGGGATTTGGACAGACAGCAGTCACGACAGAAGCCAGCCTCTGAAGAGCTCCAGCAGCTCTGCCAGCTAAGAGCTGGGTCACTAGAAACAGAACTGCCCTGGAGTCAAAGGACTCCTAGGTCGGAGCCGCAGACCTTGTTGGCTCTAAACTGGAAAGCCCTTCACCCTGCGCAGCTTCCAAAGTAACCACCACCATCAGGGAGACAGCCTAGGGTCAGTAACATTGTAGACAAAGTTATATATTTGTTTTCAGAGATTCTGCCTATTCCATACTGACCTCCTATTCAGTCCAGCTCTGCTCCCAGGCCAGCTAGGAACTGGGAGTCAACAGGGTGCCTGTCCTAAGGAGGTTCACACCTCCTTTATGATGTGTCTTCCTGTACCCTATGTAATTAATAATGACCCTGTCTTTTGTTTTAGACCCTGTGTATTTAATCTTCTTGTTAGATTTGTTTTCTCCATATTTAAAGCACTACGACTCTGGCCAGCGCCACGGCTCAATAGGCTAATCCTCCACCTGCGGCGCTGGCACCCTGGGTTTTAGTCCTGGTCAGGGTGCCGGATTCTCTCCCGGTTGCCCCTCTTCCAGTTCAGTTCTCTGCTGTGGCCAGGGAGTGCAGTGGAGCATGGCCCAGGTCCTTGGGCACTGCACCCACATGGGAGACCAGGAGAAGCACCTGGCTCCTGGCTTCGAATCAGCGTGGTGCACCAGCCGCAGAACGCTGGCCTCAGCAGCCATTAGAGGGTGAACCAACAGCAAGGAAGACCTTTCTCTCTGTCTCTCTCTCTCACTGTCCACTCTGCCTGTCAAAAATAAATAAATAAATAAATAAAGCAGTACATCTCTAGATGGCCATGCATATGAAAACTTGGATGAAAGAAGTTTCTACAAGCTGACACTGCAGCCTCCTCAAGAGGCCACCTCCTGTTGGAACCCTGTTTTGGCTGCCACTCCCCACTCCATACCCTAAGGGGCCCCCAGGACAACGACCCCCTGTCAGCAGGAAGTGGCCAAGATGAGATTGACTCCCTGGGTTCCTATAATAGTAGGGTGTGGATTTAAAGAGGGGGAGGACTGAGGCTGTCTGGTTGGGCTAAGTGTCTGTGGACCTCTCAGGCTTTAACAGAATGTCTTGTACATACAGACTGTAAGCTGTGAACAAAAGTTTTACTCCGAGACCTGATCCTAACTCTTCCCACTGTAATATTCTGTACCCAAAACTAGCAATAGGGGGGCTGGGTCCACCAAAACAAACACTAGCTCTTAGCACCTCCCATTCCAGTTGTAATCAAAAGACCCCAGGTGAGTTCTGGCCCTAGTTGAGTTCAGTGTGCGGGCACTGCTGCCCTCAGTACAGCAGCCTTGGTTCTGGGTGAGCTAAGTACTTCCCAGGTGCCAACATCAGCCAGCACCAATCTTCTATCAATCTGTTACCTATTACTTTACTGTGAATATCCTTCCTGATCCATATGATGTGACTAAATCAAGCATTTGATTAGTTTCAAAACACAAAGGGGGGAATGAAGTAACACCTTGACAGTAGGGACTCCATTCTGGGAAGGTGCCCCCCCACACCATGAGACTCTGGTCTGAAACTATGATCTAAAACAGTAGAACAATAGCAGTCCACTACATCACACTTGGCAGAGCATAGAAACCCCCTAGCATAATTGCTCAAGCTTGGAAGTGGATAGGCTACACCTGAGTTAATGATGAAAATGTAATTTGGGCCAGCACCACAGCTCAATAGGCTAATCCTCCACCTAGCGGCGCCGGCACACTGGGTTCTAGTCCCAGGCAGGGTGCTGGATTCTTTCCCGGTTGCCCCCCTTCCAGGCCAGCTCTCTGCTGTGGCCCAGGTAGGCAGTGGAGGATGGCCCAAGTACTTGGGCCCTGCACCCCATGGGAGACCAGGAGAAGCACCTGGCTCCTGGCTTCAGATCAGCGCGGTGCGCCAGCCACAGTGCGCTAGCCGTGGCGGCCATTGGAGGCTGAACCAACGGCAAAAGGAAGACCTTTCTCTCTGTCTCTCTCTCTCTCACTATCCACTCTGCCTGTCAAAAAAAAATGTAATTTGTCTATGTCCTACATATGATTAAAACCAATACTTGGATTAATGTCAAGATTATAATTGGAATTGTTAAGATTGTAGCTGGTATTGTCAAGATTATAATTGATACTAGTTTTGCATAGGTTTTAGGTCAGCTTGACCCAGTAACCATGTATTACCCCCTGTTCCTAGCAACCATGAATTCCCCTCCTGATTTTGTGGTTTTTGCCTTTATAAACCCTGTTGCTTTGGGCTTGAGGGTCTAGAGCTCTTTGGGGCATGAGCCTACTCTCCACCGCTGGCAGTAAAGAACCACCAAATTTTATCAATTTGTGGAGCTCCTTTGTTTGCACTTGTTCAGGTACAACAAGATGAAGGTCTTATCTAAAGTGACACAGGAACATAAATGACATTTGAGGGGTCAGCACTGTGCCATGGTAAACTAAGCCTCTGCCTGGGGGACCAGCATGCCATATGGGCACCAGTTCCTGTCCCGGCTGCTAGTCTTCTAATCCAGCTCTCCAATTATGGCCAGGGAAAACAGTGGAGGATCACCCAAATTCTTGGGCCCCTGCACCCACATTGCATACCCAGAAGAAGCTCTTGGCTCCTGGCTGTGCTTTGGCTAAGCTACTGCCCTTGCAGCCATTTGGGGAGTGAACTAATGCATGGAAGGCTTTTCTTTCTGTCTCTTCCTTTCTCTGTCTATAATTCTTCTCAAATAAGTTAAAAAAATTAAAAAAAAAGGAATGGACTTGGAATGACAGAGGTTATTGTAACTTAAACTGAAGTTTGATCTCATATGGAAGTGCCTGTTCAATCTTTGCTGCTCCAGTTCAGATCCCTGCTAATGCAATTGAGAAAGCTGTTGAAGATAGTCCAAACATTTGGACAGCTGCATCCAAATGGGATTCCCTGATGAAGCTTCTGGGTCAGCCTGACCTAGCCCAAACTGTCTGGCAGTTTGGAGAGTGAAATAGCTAGTGGAAGATCTCTTTCTCTCCCTCTCTCCTTCACTCTGCCATCTTCTACTGCTTTCCCAGGCCATAGCAGAGAGCTGGATGGGAATGGGAGCAGCTGGGACTGAAACCAGTGTCCATATGGAATGCTAGCACTGCAGGTAGCAGCTTTACCCACTATACTATAGCGCCTGCCCCAAGAATGTAATTTTCAAATAGTCTTACCTTACTTGCAAAAGGATTAGGACAGTAGTCACCAGTAAAAATTTCAAAGAAAAGTGAAATTCAACAGTGAAAAATTCTGTTCACCATGACATCACATTCTTTAAGCACCATTGTAGATTCTAGCCTAGATTTTCCCAAGAAAGATGGATGTCATTTTTTGATCAATGACAAAACACTTTGAAAATTCTGAAGTTTATTCCCTTTTCTCTGAAGTAAATTTGAAACTAAACACCATTATATTTTACATCCACTAACACATGGCTCATAAGTAATAAAATGAAATAATAAAACTTTATCATTTTAATTTCATCATTTCAAAAGAAACTATGAACGTTGTAGAAAAAGACTACCTATCATCTATCATCTACCTATTTGTCCTACACTAAAGAAAGGCTGATGCTCACAGAATTGGTTAGAATTTGAAAACAAGATCCTGAAATTGTTAACACTTGTGCATTCCCTTGAGCAAGACAGTGCTTTAGGAATACAGGGGACAGAGCTGTGGTGTTATGGGCTGGGCCTCCCCTTGGGTGATGTCACCCCATATAGACACAGGTTCTAGTCCTGGATGCTCTTCTTGCTGGGATCCGCATCATCCAGGATGGTGCCAAGGACCTAGGACTACCTCAGACCTCTGGGATCTTGCCATTGTGCAAACTCCAGCTCGCTATTCCTCCAGTTCAAGGTCGCTTGTGAGCAACCAAACTTGGATGTAAATAGACTCCATGGCTGCTCCAGACTTTCCTTCAGGAAAGCTGCTTTCACTGAGAGAAACTCTTGGGTTTTCAGGACTCTCAGCAGCAGTGGTTCCAGGCTTCCAGGGCAATGCCAAGTCAAGTAGGCTGGCATCAAATAGGACACAAGGTTCCCATGGGCTGTGCAAATTTCTCTGGCATGTGATTTCCTCAATGCACCAGCTTCTGAGTTGGTGAAAAATCATGGCTTCTCTTGAGTTAGAGGGAGGACTTGAGAATGGTCAAGGTCTTGGTAGTTCAATGAGCCACACTCAAGGACCTGGAAATCTTCCTTTTGTCCAAAGTCTTCTGGCAGTGCCAAAGGGTTCTGTGTGTCCCCTAAGAGGTGGGCTCTGGAGGGAGGGGGACGAGTGGCAGAGCAGAGGCAGCATCTGTCCCACTGTCCCCAAGCATGGCCAGGTTCAGAAGGGAGATTAGAACCAGACCTGTGGAAGGCTGATGGCAAGGATTCCCAAGACCTTTGTGGCTGAGATCCTGGTGCTCTCTTACAGGCTTGCATGGCGCCTAAACCATGATGGGTCCACCTGCCCCAGTCCTGACAGGGCCCCTGCAGCTGTGACAGAACCAGGCGGCCTTCTTTACACTGTGCTACCTGGAAGAAGCCTGAAGTGGGAGGAGCCTGTGAGGCCAGAAATCCCAGAGAGGGACTGCCCAGGAGCAGGTGGGCAAGCTGCAGTGTGGCGGCCTTAGCACCAGTCTACCAGGTAGTGTGTGTCCTGTGCTGCAAGTGGACTGATTCAGAGGGTTAGGGTCAGGGACTTCTTGCACTGAGCAGCTGTAGTGCTCCTTTCCGTGGTGAAACAGTTATGAAAATCTAAGGAGCTTTAACAGTACACAGGGAGAGCTCCGGGCCAGAAGGCATTTTGTGAGGCTCTGAGGAGCTAAAGAAGGTGGCTCTGGGTTCTCACAGGGCTAGTGGTATGCCTGGAACTCTAGTCTTGGAAGAATTAGAAAACCTTGATCAATTAAACCCAGCTGGTGAAGCCCGTGGCAAAATTCAGAAACGCCTCTGAGGCTGGGCTGTGGGGTCACAGCCGCCTTTATTCCTAGCAAGGAAATTAGAAGACTGTCAGATTGTTTTGGTTCACATGGCCTACTCGGCTGAGTTCCTAAGGGGAGCCAATAGTTTCTGATTTTCTGACACCAGTAGGATTTCTAAGGTAACAGTTCCGAGCAGCAGGAAAATGGTAAGACACCATGGAGGAAAAGGCAGGGACCCCTGATTGAGAGGCAGCTGAGTATAGAAAAAGGGGCATCAGAGCTGACCAATAGCCTCACATGGGTGCCTCCTACTTATGGACCCCTGCACTCAGACACTCTTCATATTAGTGCAAAGGAAGGCTTCTGGAAGACAGAGTCTTTGCAGTAAGAGTGCACAATTAACATGGAAGTCCACAGATCCTGCCAGAGCAGGGACCCTAAGGAAGAAAGGGGACTTTCTCCCAATCTTCCCATGTTTGCTAAAGATAAAGTAAGAAAATGTAAATTAATAGCCACACAACAAGCTGTTAAAACACAGGCTGTGAGTGCACATCTCATGACACACGTGACACCCCATAAGAAACACCATCGACAGTGAGATCATACCATGTTGTAATCCCAAGGTTGTAGAAATAAAATGAAATGCATTCAAGACTGGAAGGAGTGTAACTTGAAAAAAAAAAAAACTTTTTGGCAAAATCTGAAAACTTTCCCTAGGGTCAGGAGATGTGGTGCTGGTGGTTAATATGCCATTTTCAACACAGATATCCCTTACTGAAATTCAGTACCATTCCCTGACTAGACCCCTTCAACTAAACCTACTTCTGTGTGCAGACACAGATTAACTACCTATCCAGATTAACTCGCTACTTGCTCTGAAGACAAGGCTCTTTCTCTGTCCTCTCTCTCTGTTACTCAGCCTTTCAAATAAATAAATCTTATAAATTAAAAAAAAAATTTTACGGAGAAACTGAGAAAACACTTGGAGTACCTATCAATATCTAAGTGCATATGAACCTGAAACTTGTAGTAAGATATATGTTAACATTCACAAAACAGCACAAAGATACATTACACATAAGGAGGTACATTGCAACAGGAGTTTTCACCTCACCTTTCTAGATGCAATTTAGTTCTAACTTGATTTGATGAATTGAATGATTTTTCACTTCTTTGAAGGAAAAACAGAAGATATCTGTCATCTGTTAATTCACACCACAAATCCCCACAAAGTTATAGCAGAGCCAGGATAAAGCCAGCATGTGCTTAGAGTGTGTAATAAGTGTGTAATAAGAGAAATCTCTGTGGTCTCTGCAGTCGTGAAGGGCTTCCTGAAAAAAATCTTTGAGCTGAGATGTGATGAATAACAAGGTCTTGTCCAGATTATTGCCTTTCAGGCATTTGCATCTCCCTAAAAGGCCAGATTTGAAAAGAAACCTATGCAAACTTCATTTTACTTAGTAAACTGAGAGAATAGACTTTACTCTTCTACACCAGACATATTCAAATATGAGAATAAAATGTTGTTGGCATGTGGATGTGTCTTGGTAGCATTCAACTAAATAGAAAAAGCAAGATCCCAAAAACCACATATTTTATTATTTTATTTGCATAAAATGTTTAGAATATACAAATCCATAAAAGTAACAGAGAAAAAGAATTGTCAGGTGATGGAAGGAGGTATGCCCAGGGAGAGTATATGCTAATAGATACTGAGTTTCTTTGCAGGATGATGAAAAAGTACTGGAATCAGATAACTGTGATAGTTGCAAATCTCTTTATTAATATAAATTTTAATAGAAAAGTGCATATATTCATTGTGGTTTTATGTTTTATAACAATACTGTAATTATGATTATACTGTGCTCATTAAGTTACAATGTGCTCAAAAACAATCCTGATGTCTCACATGAAAACATCCCAGGACAGTAGTTTCCTCCGTATGAGAGTTCTGAAAAGTAGGTTGAAACATTACAATGTATGAAGGAACTTTTGTCAGCATCATAGAAACCCACTGTTCCATGGTCAAAATCCAAAAACACCCCAACCATAAATATCCAGGGGCCTTATACAGGCCACCAGGGTGGAACACTAGTGGGGAGGACGTAATGGTTGTTACTCTTCAGGGAGGCCAGAAGAAATGATTCTTCAAGATTAATAATGTCACTGGTATCACTTGTGCTAGAATCATTACAGACTCCCAAAATCCAATTGCAAGAGGATAATGCATCCACCTCCCAGTAAAGTTTTCCAGAGGTGAAGGTCTGAGAACCCAACACAGCAAAGCACTGTGCTCTCTGGGAATGGCTGTGAGCACCACAATGTTCTTCTCCAAATATTGCACTTCTGAGATCCTCAGAGAGCCTTACATAGTGGCAGGCCACTTTCTTCCTAAGACCATTATCCGCTGCAGAAAGAGAACAAACCAATCAATGAATCAACTGTTTTGACTGCAATGTTAACCTTCTTAATTTGCTGTTCCTTTACCTGATTCTTATCAATAATTAAAAATATTTAGGTGTATTCCACATCACACAGAGTTGTATAGGAAGACTTCATTTCCTTCATAGATATGATTCTACTTTCCACTGTTTCTTCATAGCCATACTTAGTGCTGCCTTTAGTGTTGGAGAAGGTTTATGTAAACCTTCAGGGTTGGACTTGGAGTATCTGTGATGACCTGTCTCCACTACACCATGGTATCCTTCTAACTAGGTGTCTTGGCTGGCACAGGATTTGTGATTACTGCGTTATCATTTGAAACCACCACTTTTGGTTAAGAATGTTATACAGAGGGCTCCAAGATGGCAGAATAAGGAGGGAGCTCACCGATAGTCCTGGAAAAGATAGTTTAATAAAAGTGGAGATACTGTAGTCCCAGGGAAGAGTTAGGGAAAAAACTGCAGAGAAAACTATTCCAGAATTAGTGGGACATGGTGGACCTACGTGGATGGCACATGCACTCATGGTTCAGGACCCCAGCTGCTGAGTCTATGCACCAGCACTGGAAAGGGAAGTGAGGCAAAACTGCAGTAGCCCGAGACATTGGCAGAACAGTGGCAGGCAGAGCCTCAAGGGAACAAGGTTTGAAGCCCCATGGGGGAAAGTACACCAGCCTAACTAGAGGAGAGAAAAGAAATAACAGGGACTGGTACAGACACAATTCTCTCTCTCCACTCACCTTACAAAGGTGGGGAAGATAATAGAGCAGGTGCCATTTTGAACATACGTAACAGCTGCACCAGCTCAGGGCTGCACCCACCCTCAGCCAAGCAGAAAAACCTGACTCTGGCAGGGAGAAATAACAGGGGATTAAGACCTAGTGAATGTGTGGAGCTTATGAATTGGGACCGTGAAAAAAACACTGAGGTGTGTGGGAGAACTCATGGTGTGGCTGAGATGTGAGTAGTGTTGGTGGGAGATGCCACAAATTTGGACAGCTTTGGCTAAGTGGTGAGAGACATTGCAGGAGAATCTGAGCTTACACTGAGGACTGCATAGATCCTTTGTGTGGTCCTTGGGACAGAGCAGACAAATATTACACCCACTGGGGCTAGGACTCAGGCACTGGTTGACATCAAAGAGAAGAGCTCAGCTGAGCAGAATTACTTCTCTTCTGAATAAAAGAGAGAGAGAGAGAAAGATTTACCACACCAAACCTGGGTGTGTCACCTTTGGTACACCCTTAACCCTGAAGAACTGAACAGACATCTCTGGCCATACCCATCACAAGCCTCTAGAGATTCATGAAATGCAGACAGTCCACTTAATCTAGAGCCATAGTATAATGGGAAAAACCACCACAGTGAGAAAAAAAGAAGAAACCAAAGAATAGCTTCACAATTCCAAACAACAAAGGCAGAAACTGAGGAAACAAGAACAAGGAAGACATTATGATGCTCCGAAATGAACATGACACCCCAGTACAAGATTATGAAGATGATGAGATAGAATAAATGCAAGATATGGATCTTAAAAAAATTATGGTAAGGACATTTGGAAGTTATCAAAAACAATTGCGTGAACTAGAGAAATCCATTCAGGACAGGACAGAAAATCTCTCTCATGAAAATGAAATCTTAAGGAGGAATCAAAATGAAATGAAGAATTCAATAGAACAAATGCAAAATAAAATCAGTGAGATAGAAGAGAGGATATCGGACTTAGAAGACCGAGTACAGGAAATTATACAGTCATACCAAAGAAAAGAAGAGGAAATTAGAAATCTAAAAATACTGTTGGGAATCTACAGGATACTATTTAAAAAAAACAACATTCATGTTCTAGGGGTTCCTGAAGGCATGGAGAGAGAGAAAGGATTAAAAGGCATTTTTAGTGAGATACTAGCAGAGAAATTCCCGGTTTGGGGTAAGGAAAGGGACATCTAAGTACAGGAAAAACCCACAATAAACATGATCAAAAGAGATCCTCACCACTACACATTGTAAACAAACTCACCACAGTGAAACATAAAGAAAAGATTCTAAAATAGGCAAGAGAGAAACATCAGATTACTCTGAGGAGATTTCCAATTAGACTCATGGCAGACTTCTCATCAGAAACCATATTGGCTAGGAGGGAAGGGCGAGATATAGCCCAAGTACTAAGAGAGAAAAACTGCCAGCCCAGAATATTATATCCTGCAAAGCTCTCATTTGTGAATGAAGGTGAAATAAGGGCCTTTCATAGCAAACAGAAATTGAAAGAATTTGTCACCATTCGTTCAGCCCTGCAAAAGATGCTTAAAGATGTGTTACACACAGAAACACAGAAACGCGGTCATCAATATGAAAGAAGGTAAAGTAAGAAAAACTCCCAGTAAAAGATCACAGGAAGTTTAAAGCATATATTAGAAATATCTTTAGGGAAATGGAAGGGCAAGTCACTACTTATCAATAGTCACATTGAATGTAAATGGCCTCAACTCTCCAGTTAAAAGCACAGACTGGCTGAATGGATTATAAAACAAAACCCATCTATTTGCTACTAACAAGAAATACATCTTTCCAACAAAGATGCATGCAGACTGAAAGTGAAAGGTTGGAAAAAGATATTCCATGCCAATGGAAACCAAAAAAGAGCTGGCATAGCCATCTTAATATCAGACAAAATAAACTTTAACATTAAATCTGTTAAGAGAGACAAAGAAGAGCACTATATAATGATTAAGGGATCAATTCAATGGAAGATATAACGATTATCAATGTATATGTACCTAATTACAGGGCACCGCTTTATTTAAAAATATGCTAAGGAACTTCAAGGAGACTTAGACTCCAATACAATAGTATTGGGGGTCTTCAATACTCCACTTTCAGAAATAGATCAACAGGACAGAAGATCAACAAGGATACAGTAGATTTAATCAACACTATAACCCAAATGGATCTAACAGATACCTACAGAACTTTTCATCCTACACTTAAAGAATACACATTCTTCTCAGCAGTACATGGAACCTACTCTAGGACTGACCACATACTAGGCCATAAAGCAAGTCTCAGCAAATTCAAAAGAATTAGAATCATACGATGCATCTCCTCAGACCACAGTGGAATGAGGGTGGAATTTAGCAACTCGGGAATCCCTAGAGCATATGCAAACACAAGGAGACTGAATAAGATGCTCCTGAATGAACACTGGGTCATAGAAGAAATCAACAGAGAAATCAAAAACTTGGAAGTAAATGAGGATAACAACACAACATACCAAAACTTATGGGATACAGCAAATGCAGTGTTAAGAGGAAAGTTTATAGCAATAGGTGCCTACATCAAGAAATTGGAAAGGAACCAAATAAATGAGCTTTCAATGCATCTCAAGGATCTAGAAAAACTGCAGCAAACCAGAACCAAAACTAGTAGAAGAGAAATAATTAAAATTAGAGAGGAAATCAACAGAATTGAATCCAATTAAAAAATTACAAAAAATAAGCCAAACAAAGAGCTGGTTTTTTGAAAAAATAAACAAAATTGACACCCCATTGGCCCAACTAACTAAAACAGCAGAGAAAAGACCCAAATCAATAAAATCAGAGATGAAAAAGGGACTGTAACGACAGATACCACAGAAATAAAGAGTCATCAGAAATTACTACAAGGAATTGTATGTCAGCAAACAGGGAAGTCTATCAGAAATGCAACCTACCTAAATTGAACCAGGAAGACATAGAAAACCTAAACAGACACATAACTGAGGCAGAAATTGAATCAGTAATAAAGTCCCTCCCAACAAAGAAAAGCCTAGGACCAGATGGATTCACTGCTGAATTCTACCAGACATTTAAAGAAGAACTAACTCCAATTCTTCTCAAACTATTCAGAACAATTGAAAAAGAGGGAATCCTCCCAAATTCTTTCTAAGAAGCCAGCATCACCTTAATTCCTAAACCTGAAAATGATGCAACATTGAAAGAGAATTACAGACCAAATTCCCTGATGAACATAGACACAAAAATCCTCAATAAAATTCTGGCCAATATAATGTAACAACACATTAGAAAGATCATCCACCCAGACCAAGTGGAATTTATCCCTGGTATGCAGGGATGATTCAGTGTTCACAAATCAATCAATGTAATACACCACATTAACAAACTGCAGAAGAAAAAAAATGGGATTATCTCAATAGACGCAGAGAAAGCTTTTGATAAAATACAACACCCTTTCATGATGAAAACGCCAAGCAAATTGGGTATAGAAGGAATATTCCTCAATGCAATCAAACAAATTTATGAAAAACCCATGACCAGCATCCTATTGAATGGGGAAAATTTGGAAGCATTTCCACTGAGATCAGGTACCAGTCAGGGATGCCCACTCTCACCACTGATATTCAATATAGTACTGAAAATTTAAACCAGAGCTATTAGGCAAGAAAAAGAAATTAAAGGGATTCAAATTGGGAAGGACATAGTCAAACTATCCCTCTTTTCAGATGATATGATTCTTTATTTAGGGGATCCAAAGAACTCTACTAAGAGACTATTGGAACTCATAGAAGAGTTTGGGAAAGTAGCAGGATATAAAATCAATACACAAAAATCAACAGCCTTTGTATACACAGGAAATCCAAATGGCCAACAAACACATGAAAAAATGTTCAGGATTACTAGCCATCAGGGAAATGCAAATCAAAACCACAATGAGGTTTCACCTCATCCCGGTTAGATTGGCTTACATACAGAAATCTAGCAACAACAGATGCTGGCGAGGGTGTGGGGAAAAAGGGACACTAGCCCACTGTTAGTGGGAATGCAAACTGGTAAATCCACTGTGGAAGGCAGTTTGCAGATTGCTCAGAAACCTGAATATAACCCTACCATACAACCCAGCCATCCCACTCCTTGGAATTTACCCAAAGGAAATTAAATTGGCAAATAAAAGAGCCATCTACACCCCAATGTTTATTGCAGCTCAATCCACAATAGCTAAGATATGGAATCAACCTAAAAGCCCATCAACAGTAGACTGGATAAAGAAATTATGGGATATGTACTCTATAGAATACTATAGAGTAGTAAACAAAAATGAAATTTGGTCATTTGCAATAAAATGGAGGAATCTGGAAAACATTATGCTGAATGAAATAAGCCAGTCTCAAAGGGACAAATATCATATGTCCTCCCTGATCGGTGACAACTAACCAAGCACCAAAAAGGAAACCTGTTGAAGTGAAATGGACACTATGAGAAACAATGACTTGATAAGCCCTTGTCCTGACTGTAAAGGAACAACTTACTACTTTATTCATTGTAGTATTTTTTGTTCTGTTTAATACTATTGGTTGAACTCTTTAATTAACAATTATTCTTAGGTGTTTAAATTTCACTGAAAAGTGATCCCTGTTAAATATAAGAGTGGGAATAAGAGAGGGATGAGATGTACAATTCAGCACATGCTCAATCTGACATGCCCCAAATGTTAGAGTTAAAAACTCACCAGGGGATACCAATTCAATCCCATCCAAGTGGTATGTACCATGTACCCATGCCATCTCACTATTCAAAGTGATCAGTTTCAGTTCAGAATTGATCATAATGAAAGGATTAAGAATCAAAGTGATCACATAAACAAGACTAGTGTCTGCTAATACTAACTGGTAGAATTATAAAGGAGAGAATGACCCACCATGGGAAGCAGGATTCATAGAATGGCAGATGTCCTAAACAGCACTCTAGCCTCAGAATCAACCCTTAAGTCATTCAGATCTGGCTGAAAAGCCCATGATAGTATTTTAGGCATGGAAAGCCAAGACACTCTGGAAAAAAAAAACACCCTAAATGAAAGATCTCTGTGAGTGACATCCCAGTGGAAAAAACGAGCCATCTAAGAAGGAGGTACCATTTGAGTATGACCTCATCTAAATAATATTGGAGTTGATGAACACAAGAGACTTCCATAGCCTTGGCAACTCATGACAAGAGCCTCAGGTGATTACTGATGCCATAAATAAGAGTGTCAGTTGTTAAATCAAAAACAGGAGTCACTGTGCACTTACTCCCCATGTACGATCTCTGTCCTTAATGTGTTGTACTTTTTGAATTAACAGTATATTAGTACTCCAACATTACTTTATACTTTGTGTTTCTGTGTGGGTGCAAATTGTTGAAAACTTTACTTAGTATATACTACGTTTATCTTCTGTATATAAAGATAATTCAAAATGAATCTTGATGTGAATGAGATGGGAGAGGAAGTGGGAGATGCGGTGGTTGCTAGTGAGAGGGTGGTTATGGTAGGAAAAAGCAACTATAATCCAAAAGTTGTACTTTGGAAATTTATAGTTATTAAAGAAAAGTTAAAAAAAGAAATCACCACATTTTCCCAGAGGAATCATGAACTCTTCATGGTAAACCAAATTCGCTAAAGCAATATGGTGATTGTAAAGCATTATAGTAATTGAAGAACATCTTTTTCATTCTTACAAATTCCTGGATCATTTTGAATAAATTATTCATTTCCTTTCAAAGTTTTTCCTGCTGGCGCCGTGGCTCACTAAGCTAATCCTCCGCCTTGCAGCACCGGCACACTGGGTTCTAGTCCCAGTCGGGGCACCGGATTCTGTCCTGGTTGCCCCTCTTCCAGGCCAGCTCTCTGCTGTGGCCTGGGAGTGCAGTGGAGGATGGCCCAAGTGCTTGGGCCTTTCACCTGCATGGGAGACCAGGAGAAGCACCTGGCTCCGGGCTTCGAACTAGTGCGGTGCACTGGCTGCGGCCATTGGAGGGTGAACCAATGGCAAAGGAAGACCTTTCTCTCTGTCTCTCTCTCACTGTCCACTCTGCCTGTCAAAAAAAATTTTTCCTGCAGAATAATTGTGAGTTTTAGCAACACGGAATATATTCTTATATATTTTACCCCCTTACTTATTGGAAATGGCAGTGGTTGAGACAATAGTATTGAGAATACTAATGTTTTTCCTTCTTTTTTATTTCTCTGAAAATAGTAATTTTGAATAAAGTGGAAATGTCATATTTTCACAAGTTGACCTAATTTGAGTCTCAGATTTGAGATATTGAAGGTAATAGAAAATTACAAGGCTGTCATTGCAGTGTAATGAGCTCATTGTCCTCCTGCTAAACCAGTATACCATGTGGGCACCAGTTCATATCCTGGACCCTCCACTTTTGTTACATCTCCGTTCCGATGGCCTATGAAGCAATGAAAGGTGGTCCAAGTTCTTGGGCCTATGAAACTCACATGAAAGTCCATTAAAGATCCTGACTTCCAGATTCAGCCTGGCCCTCCCTGGTCATGAGGCCATTTGGGGTAAAAACCCCAAAATGGATGGCAGATCGCGCTCTCTCTCTCTCTCTCTCTCTCTCTCTGTGTGTGTGTGTGTGTAAATTTGCATTGGAAATAAGTAAATGAATCTTAAAAATCAAAGAAGAAACTTACAATAGAAATCGTGAATATAGTCAATAAAATCAACTTCCATAGAAACCATGTTTATGTCACTTGGCTGTGAAGCTGTCACAGTTGCAGCCCAAGCCCAAGTTTCTGCTGCTGACCACTTGCACTGCACCTGCACCAACCGCACATGTGTGGACAGTGCTTCTAAGGTGACTCCCCTTCAAGACAGCTCAACCTCATTGTGCCTATGTTGCCATGTTGAGCAACAACATGGAAGGACACATTTACATCTTGGGATTCACGGGGTAAAATCACCACCCTCACAGTCTCCATTCTCATACATTTCCACTCCATTTCCATAAATCCCCATCTTTCTGTCTAGTTTAGGATCCCAGAGAATCCACATGGCTCTGGAGGCATTACTCGCCCAGGACTCCTCAGCAACACATTCCACCATGGTGTGGCCATGTATCTTGGGCTGTGAGCATTCAGAGAGAGGCTCATAGTCTAGACTTGTCAACTTCATTGAGGATCCCTTCTGCTTCTGTCTGGGCCACAGGGACCTGCTCCTGCAACCTGGTGACCTGGTTCAATCGGTCTTGTCTGGAAGCAGCAGCCAACTTCTTGAGCACATCATTGGTTTTGAAGTTTGTCTTCTCTGACATCTCCTTACACATTGGGCAGCACATGGGAGTCTTGACTTCCTCCCAGTTCAGGGAAAGACAAGATCTACAGAAGTTGTGCCCACAGTCTATGGTGACTGGATCTAGGAAGAAATTCATGCAAATTGGGCATGTGAGTTCCCGCTGGAAGACTTGCAACGTGGCTGGATCCATGACTCTAGGAAGATCCTTTAAAAAACAGAAAGAAATAAAGTTGTTCTTCCCCGATGAGAGAAAGCAAATATCTGTGTACAGTTTCTCCCCCTACTTGCCCCCATAGAAAAATAGACATCATGAATGGAGACATCTTGGGTCTACAAGCTGACAGGACTAAGAAAGTACTACATGTATTATGGTTGTTTAAAGTAAGATCCTGGGTTGGTACTTGGCACAGTAGGTTAAAACCCTGGCCTGCAAGGTCTGCAGATGCCTGGCAGTTTGAGTTCTGGCTGCTCTACTTCAGAACCAGCTCCCTGCTGATTTGCCTGGGAAGGGAGCAGAGGATGACCCACGTCCTTGGGCCATTGCCCCCACTCACGGGGAGTCCCAGAAAAAGATCCTGGCTCCTGGCTTCTGACTGGGTAAGCTCTGGCCATTGGGACCTTTAGGAGAGTGAACCAGAGAATCAAAGACCACTAATTCTCTCCCTGTCTCTACCTCTTTATAAAACTATTTCTTTCAAATAATTAAAAAAAAACCCTTCAACTAAATAATGAAAAAGTGTGTAACAAATCTTTGGAAAAATTAAAGATTATGTAAAAAATGAGATGATTCCAAGGTTTATTTTCATTAGCTCATTGGCTTAGAAACAACACAAGATCAGTATTTCTTTCTGAATCTCTCTTCCTCCTCCTCCTCCTTCTTCTCTCTCTCTCTCTCTCTCTCCCTTTCTTCTCTGTTAGTCATTCCTCCAGGACTCATTGGCTTTAATGGTCAAAAAACCATGGGGTTCCATACAAAAAGTCTATATGCCCTGTCTTCCAACTCACAGAGGGACTTTTCTGAAGAAATCAATTAAGAGATTAGGCTCAATCTACATTTGTTTGATTTAATCAGTGTTAAGCTGAATGCTCGACTTCTAAAACATTAAGCAGGTGAGTTTCTTTTTTCAACTTTAACTCAAGGCCTTTTCTTCAAGTAATAAAATACAAAAAATCATATTCAGTTTGAGAAAATATGATTGTCCCAGAGTCAGTTCATGTCATCAGAGAGATTGTCACATTCTGGAAATGTGAACAGTCAACTACAGCAATGGGCAGCAATTGCCCTATTGTTTCTGTTAATGTTTATTTATTTATTTGATGGTTAGAGTTACACAGAGAGAGAAGGAAAGGCAGAGAGAGAGAGGGAGAGAGAGAGAGGGGAGAGAGAGGTCATCCATCCACTGTTTCACTCCCCAGTTGGTTACAATGGCTGGAGCTGTGTTGGTCGAAGCCAGGAGCCAGGAGTTTCTTCTGGTCTCCCATGTGGGTACAAGGGCCCAAGGACTTGGGCAATCTTCTACTGCTTTCCCAGGCCACAGTAGAGAGCTGGATCAGAAGTGGAGCAGCCAGGACTACATCCAGCACCATTATAGGATGTCGGCACTGCAGGCGGCGGCTTTACCTGCTATGCCACAGTGCTGGCCTCTGCCCAGTTGTTCTTTAAATCAAGCCCCAACAATGATAATGAATACTGGATTTCCTTCCAATTCTAGAATAGCCATTGATGCAGATAATGAGGCATGAATGATTCATCCTTATTTTCCCAAAGAGACAGATGTCATATCTTGGGAGCACTTTTCTGTTGGTTGGCTCTATTTTGAATATTTTCCACAATTAGTCTACAAAGCAAGGTAGCACACTCTGAAATAATGGTTTTCAAAGTATTTCAACACATTTAGGAATATTTTGATTTGTGTAAAAGCTACTATTCATTTCTCAGTAACCACAGGAAATTGGTTCCACCAGACCTGGGCAGATACCAAAATTCACAGATACTCAATCCCTTATATAAATGGTATGGTGTGGAACTTGTTGTGGCTTAGCAGGTAAAGCTGCCACCCGCAGTACTGGCAAGCACATATAGCTGTCATTTGAGTCCCAGCTACTCCACTTCTGATACAGCTCCCTGCTATGGCCTGTGCATAGCCCAAGTCCTTAGGCCCTAATACCCACATAGGAGACCTGGAGGAGGCTCCTAGCTCCTGGCTTCAGATTGGCCCAGCACCGGCCATTGTGGCCACTAGGGAGTGAACCAGCAGATGGAAGAAATCTCTCTCTCTCTGACTTGTGACTTGTGTAAAAATTAAAACCAGAAATCTTTAACAACTTACAATCTAGTAATGCGTAAAGACATATAATAAAAAGTCAAATAATTTATCACACAAATCAATATATATGAATGTTCTAATCATGGATACTTTCCTTACTGATATAATTTAAAATAAGTAGGAAAGGCACAGGATAGCTTTGAGAAAACGTCTGTAACCTGATCGTTAAGCTTAAAGTACTTTTGTAAGAGAAATTTAACATGAAAGCCTATCCTCTAAATTCGATACTCACAGTGTGTGCTTTGGGAGGTCTCGCCTCTGGAAGGGCAGATGTGGTTGGTCTTTCAGCTCTCCAATGCACAGCTGCTTCCAGTTCAAGATCCTCTCTTCTGGTCTAAACTCCTCTGGGTGTGTCCCCTTTTATAGGATTTCACCTGACCCACCCACCAAACCCACTCACTGAGAGGGTCTCTGTCTTCAGAACTCATTGGATTTGCATGATGAGGTTACAGGGAAGGGGAAAAGTGATTCAATGGACTAGCATGGTACAGAAAACAGTACCCAAGGGCTAAGAGACAAGTAAAATGTAGACTGGGTTTAGGAGATTTGGGGAAGTTGACTGGATGCAAATGGTTCCGCAAGAAATTTTCACTGAGGGCTGAGAGTGCCAGGCTTTGGAACAAGCTGACACTGGCAAGACGTTAGAGGGTGGTGGGAGAATGGAAGAAGTCTCTGTGTCTCTCCTCTGCCTCGGAGGAACCACCTCTTCCATGCTGCCGCTCCCCTTGCAAGACTTTGGTCCTGTTGTAGTTTACATCACAAACCTCCTGCACCCATAGTTAGGCTCCTTCAGATGCTGCTTTCTGGGTTGTTCCAATTCTGTGAATGTCTGCCATTATTTTTTTTTCCCGAAGTGCCCCCAGATCTCTCTCCATGGACTCAGATGTTTCCTTAAATGGTTAACTTAGGGGATGGCCTTCTGCATAGTGTGTTAGGTCACCACTGCTCACAATGCTGGCCTTCCATGTGGGAGCTCTGGTTTAGTCCAGCTGCTCAACTATCAATCCAGCTCCCTATTTTCATGCCTGAGGAAGCAGTGGCAAATGGCCCAAGAGTGTGGCCTTCTGCCTCCCACTGGGAGACCTGGAATAAGCTCTGGCTCCTTCCCTGCTTAGACTAAACTATTATTAATCACCCTGGCTACAACGTAATATTTCTGTAGAGAAATCATTTTACACATTCCACAACAGGATTTTCCAAAGGCTTCCTTGCCAGAACTTCATCGTTTAAAGCATATGGCATAAGGAAAATAACATAAATTTATTAATTTATAAGATACAAAATTATAATAGGCAAAAATTTTATAATTATTTATTTTTTGTTTTTTTTTTTCACATAAAGAGTTAGACAGTGAGAGAGAGAGACAGAGAGAAAGGTCTTCCTTCCATTGTTTCACCCCCCAAATGGCCACCATGGCCACAGCCAGGAGTCCGGTGCTTCCTCCTGGTCTCCCATGCAGGTGCAGGGGCCCAAGCACTTGGGCCATTTTCCACTGCCTTCCCAGGCCACAGCAGAGAGCTGGACTGGAAGAGGAGCAACTGGGACTAGAACCCGGCACCCACACATTATGCTGGCACCACAGGCAGAGGATTAACCCAGTGAGCCACAGCACCGGCCCCTATATTTATTTCTTAGACACATGAACCTGACCTGAGCGCAATATAGGACTGCTTATCGCTGAGTTATAAAATAAAAATTCCTCTATTTTCACAGTTTAAGGTAAAAAACTTGAATCCATTTCTTTGGACCCAGTACTCAACTGATGATTTGAATTGGTCCTCTGCAACTTCTAGGAATGGATGCTGGGTACGGTAGGTGGTTCTGAGTTCCCTGGGCTCTGAAGGATCAGAAGGTTTCCACAGCCCAGTCAACACCATGTCTCAGAGCTGAAGAAACCTTGACTGGGTGAGGTCTCTATATGAAGATGAGCAAGCCTCGCCCTGATGTGGTTCTGGAGGCACTGAGGCCTGGGGGGAGGGGCACTGTTTCCCATCATTCTTTGGGTGAACTCCTTTCCAGGTGATTTGGTTAACAGCCATTGGATCAATCTCAAATTGCAAAAGTTCTCTTGATTGAAATGAATAATTATTTGAGAGTTGATATTCATAAATATTTGAAATCCAGATATCCTTTTATTATACCCACCAAGAGGTTATTATGTCAAAAGCCTATGTTAATAGAAAGGCAAATTATATTTCTACACTCACAAATCAATACAAGGAAGTTATGTGTAGGGTTGGCATATCAATACATATCAATGAAAGCACATCTGGAGATATAACACTGAAGAAGCTCCTGGGTCAGCCAAAACAGCCCAAACTGTCCAGCAGTTTGTAGAATGAAACAGCTGATGCAAGATCTCTTTCTCACTGTCTCTCCCCCTCATTCACTCTGCCTTTCAAAGGACTGAAAATAAATTTTTTCCAAAGATGAGGGCTTCAATCCATTTCTAATATAAACTTGGCTCCACAAAATGACTTACCCATGTGCTTTTAGTATATGAGATGGTTTTAATTGTTTTGTATAAAATCAGACAAATAGATACCAAATAAACCCTCAGATAATCTGGGGTCTGGTTGGGGATAGGCGAGGAACAAATTCCTCTAAAGTTTTTACACTGTGAAGCTTTACATCAATAAACTGGTTATTTGAACCTTGGACTACCATTGCCTCCAATTCCTGGGTGGGTATAAAACTTCCAGTTTTGATAGACCTAAATAAGCAGCTATGTTTAAAATGAAACTTTGAGGCCAGTGCTGTGGCTTAGCAGGTGGAGCAGCTGCCTGCAGTGCTTGCATTGCATATGGGCACTGGTTCAATCCTGGCTGCTCCACTTCAGATGCAGCTCTCTGCTGTGGCCTGGGA